TTTTATATATTAAAGTGGCTATCGAATCTTGAATATTACCATATTAAAGAATATTACAACAATGACAGAGTAATCTTCGTTAAAAGTTCAGAATATGTGCAAATTGACTATTTCAATTCTGGAGACTTCTATTTTCAGGAAAAAGATGTTAATATAGATTTCTTGGATTTTAATAATAATTGTGAGTACGTGCGCCGAGTTTTCTGAGTTATAGATTCTTTATTAAAATAGCAGAGGCAGGTTTTGCTCTGGGTCTTGTACTAGAGAATATATATTCAAAAATTATTAGATTGATATACAAAATTTTTTTTATCACGAATAGTAATAAAATTTTCTCGGTAGATACATTCGAATCACTTTATGTAGTGTGGTTCGGAGGGTTTAAAACCCATAAAGTCTGCATCACCTTCCTCCTCACATACACCTCACATCAAGGATAACGATCACGCTCAAGAAAAAAATATAACTCTGAATAGGGAGGGAATACTCAGATCCTAGGCCTGCCTCGAAAGGCAAAAAGTATCCCTAAGAAGACTAAACTACAAAAAAAACTAAATATAATAAAAGACAATTAACTTACTTTTAGAGAATCGTAGCAAAGGTTATGTACTTATGTAAATTTTGAGGTGGATATTTTCAAACTATTTCTCATCTTGTAGCTCAGTGGACTAAACCGCAGGAAGCTCATCGAGTCTTCCTCTTCTCGCTACGTAGACAATAATAGTCCAACAATCGCACCCTCTAAACAGTGTTTTATAATAATATAATGGAAAATAAATATACGAAGTCAGAGGCCCTATCATTTAGAATTATAGATGAATTTTTTTGCATGACTATTGGGAAGAAGTATAATGTCAAAAAAGTGAGATGGTTACATTCATATTATTTATATGATGTAGCCTGGTGGTTTAAAACCCGGGAAGTCTGTTTGACCTTCTTCCTCTTGCATATGCCCATGTAGAAGAATGACGATCGTGCTCTCAAAGTAGTGTTTTTTATAAGCATAAGGAGACTATATTATAAAGGATAAATAGATTGCATATTTTTTGCGGACCAGGCAATCACTTTCATCTATGTACTAGACTACCTAAGGTAATTATGAGCCCGTTGAGTCTCACAACACACATAGTCAGAGGCCCTATTCTTTCTTATCAATTAGATAAGAAAAAAAATTTTTTGATTGATTAAGTATACCCATACAAATAGCTCCGGCAACTGTCTTATCAATGCAAAAGCAATCTAGTGTAAGAAAGTGTTGGTAAAAAAAAAATACTTTAGAAGAATTTTATATTGATGTTATGTGGCTCTATTTTAACACAATCAATTATGCAAGGTCGGTTTCAAGATTAATATGTATAAAAATAAAACTGTATCTGTATTAGAGCTTGGGACTAGTTTGCATAATTAACTTATGATATTTGGAATAAAAAAAGAACTATCGCTATATCGTACACGTACATATATATATAAAAATAAGATAATGATAACAAATAAGCTATAAATATTAATCATTGTAAGTTTATATAGCACAGCCGTCTCATAAACAATTTTTTATCGAATTTGCTTAACTACTAACCCGAAAATAGAAGCTTCATAATCATGATTTTTTATCGGCCTCATGTCGAAAAATTTGCTGGAAAAAATAAAGTACTTATTATATCATACTAATCATATATCTTAACGGTCCTATGGGTCCGTTTTCTGCTTAAGCATCAAATATTCAGGTTTTTCAGTTCGAATGAGCGATAAAACCTTGATCGGTTTTAATAATCAATAGCTTGCATTAAATTTTATGCGCTTGCAGAATCATTTCTCACGGTTAATTTTTGTTAACGAATATCTAAAAAGCTTTTTCTTATTATATATGATACTGCAATATGATATCTTACAAGATGATGAGTATTATAAAGAGAGAGGTGATTTCTGGACACCACTTTTGGAAGAATCTATAGAAAGACATATAAGAAATGATGACTGGGATGATATGAATCCTGGTGAGGCCCAAGAAATCTTAGATTAAATGTAAATCCCACTAACCTGACCTATTAAGGATGCCTCTTTGAGGCATATATTTTTTTATTTGTATTTTTTTATTATATCAATAAAAATATTTTTTTATCTGTATATTGTTGTTTTGGCAAAAAAATATTAAATAAAGAAGGGGTCTGCTGGGCTCCTAATCTTTTATTTTTATATAGTTTTTTTACATGATTTTTTACAATATAATTTGCAATTAGTTCTATACTATTATGGCTGCTATTGGGATTCCAGCTGTTTTTCTAATACTATTCTTGAGATTACAATTGAGTAATATATTTTTTACATTAATATGCATAGATTGGATGATCTGATTTTCTATAAGTTTCACCGATATTTGAATTGTAGTAATAATCTTCATCATCAGAAAAACTACAATATTCTCTACCATCATTATCATCATCTTCGTTGTTATTGAAGGAATCCTCAATATAAGAGTTATTAGATATACTTACTTCTTCATCTGGTAAAGATTTGTTATTCTCACTTAACATATTTTTTGAATTAGAGGTATGGGATGATTCAGTAGATATACTTGCCTTAATATTTGATACATCTTTTGAGCTAGATGGTTCAGCCATGTATATGTGATAATTTGTCATACCGATCATATCTATTGAAAACTTGGGAAAATTATTTATAAGATTTTTAATTTGAATATCTTTTAGATTTAAAATAGTACTTGCACTGTAAGTTATTTGACTAATTTTATCAATTCCTACTCCTTCATAGAATATATATACTTTTTTTGCTCTGGAAGTTATTTTACGCAGGTTTACATTAGTAATATCAGGAAGGAGTAATTTGATTTTATTATATACTATCATTCTTGCCGATTGGTCATCAATATTATTTGCAAACTTAACATCACTAACTCAATTTTCGTATGCTTTATAATAACAATACCAGCACAGACTTTTCTTTTGTTGAACCTTCATTGCTACCCTAAATAGAACAACTATATTTTGTAATATAACCTTACCAGATCCTGTTAAAATCGCTTTTAAAGAAAATTCAAAAATCTGAATATCAAATACTTTATTAATATTATAGTTATTATCTTTGGTACAAATAAATAGCTCGAGTCTTAAACCTCATTCTACTTTTGATTATAAGGAATTTTCTGATTAGGCAATAGATTAGTAGGTGATTTGGACTCGGAACTTATTTCTGGAATGTTCAGATTTGAATTCTTTGGATTCATTTTGAGTGTAACAGTTTTTACATTATATAATAAATTAGACTGTTCTAAAGAATTATTATCTGAAGATAAATCTTGGGATCTAAGCTTCTTCTCCTGATTCCTTTCTTTTATTTTATCACTAATCTGTTCTTTATATACCCAACCCAGAAATTCGATCTTTTTGTCTTCTGGTAATTTAGACTCTGTATGAACGGATGATATTGTGAGGTACGAAACCTGTGATCGGTACGAGCTGCGCCAAGCTCATGATGTTCACAGTTATGATGATCTAATGCCTAAAATAGAGTTGCCAGCGGTATAATGGGAAAATCGGGTATAACGGAGAAAACTGGTAAATTCCCTAAAGACAGTTTATTAGCTTTCATGAGTAGAAGGGTTTTTTA